GCCCGCCCCCGGCGGGGAGGTTCGGCTGCCGGGCACGGCTGGGGAGAGCCCTCATAACCGACGGCCGCGGAAAGGCTCCCGCAGCCAAGTGGAGACAGAGATTTGTTTGTTGGGTTTTGTGGTTTTTTTCCTTTCTTTTTTGTTGGTGTTTTGTTGTGGTTTTTTTCAGGGCAGCTTCAGAATTGTGAGTTTTGTGTGTAGCTTTCTGGTTTGTGCTCTCGGTAGTGCCCTTCTGACAAGGAACGGTAAGCTGTGCAAAACTAGTTTTGACAACTTTTTAGTTTCGTGCTCAAGAGGCTTAGCTTTAACTTATGGTCAGGTGTAAATTACAAACATGAGATATTAGCTTGTAATTGGGAACTGAAACGCCTTAGATGGCCGTAACTACCAGCAATCACACATTTTATAGATACACCCCAGAACTAAAGTACGTAAAGTAATGAAACCTGAACTAACATGGGTTTATTTTCTTTCATGCAGACGAACTGTCTACAATCCCAGAGTGAAAAAGACTTCCATCTAGGATGATGACAGATTTTACAGGAGAGCATATGGTAATGTTGGGCTTTACTAGAATGAAATGTTTTAAATGAAAAAATCTCATAAAGAGTAATACTGCAGTAGTCTTTAGAATATGCCAATTGCTGTAACAAACACTAGCTGAATTTACAGCTGAAGCATTTTACAATCCAAACAGAAAAGTGGGAGGAAGGGAAAGAGGGATTTTTTTTCCCACAACAGTGATTTTTTTAAAAATCAAAATAGCAGTTGTAAAGACTGCCAGAATAAACACCTTTGAATATTGCATTTATATACAGACAATGAAGCACAAGCAACAGCCAATGCCAACTTAGAATGCAGATTTACCAAAAAGAAGTGAAAGCTTTATGCAGCTGTATCTAGAACAATTCATAATTGCTGCTTTTTAATTCTATAAATGGCATTACTAAAATAAAATCAGTCCTCCAGACTAATAAACATGTGATTCTAAGCTGCTATTCAAGTGAACTCTAAAGTTCTATAAATTGCTTCAAAACTTTTCAGTTTGCACCCTGAAGGCAATTTTAGGAAGGGAAGTCATACCTACACCTGATGTAAAACTGTGGTTTTTTTGTTTCTGGCTCCTGAAATCTTCAGAAACCTTTCACAATGGTTTTTAAAGTAGACATTTAAGTAGATGTTCGATATCACATACACAGGGTTTAGTTTGGAATCGCATATCCTTGTTTTGTTTTGGAACTGAAAAAGTAATGTTTTTGCTAGTAGCTGAAGTAGCATAGTAACTTCCTGTTCATAACATGTTGGGAAGCTACAGTCTCCAACCTTTTACAGGTGAGGGGAGAAAGGGACAGAGAGAAGCGTGGACAGCATGCCACTCTGAGGAAACTGCATTTACCTATTCCTAATTGTTATGGAATGCATCCTCTGTGCTTCACCACCTCCACTGACATCTTTCCTTAAACCATGTCCATTTTTCTCCCTACTAAATATGATCTCTTTCGTGTGAATTGCCCATATTTCAGTAGTATAGCAAACAGATTGTCCTCCCATCTCCTTTGTGTCTTTCATGCCTTCCTGCAGAATGAAAAAATCATAGATGAACGTGTGCACTTGCAACTTCTTTGTGCTGTTTCCATTCCAAGAAACTGGCGAGACAGTAAATGGGTTATATATCACAGAAACTGGGGGGTTTTTTTCCCCTTTTTTATGTGTACTTACTATATGAGATAAAAAAGGAGAAGGTAGCATTTTCTAGCCTACTCTCTATTAATCCGAAGACAGGAATGACCCTGAAGAGATGACTTAACATCTCTGACCCAATGGAGATTGCACAAAAGGAAAATGTATATGTTGTTGCTCTGTTGAAAAGCAAATAACTTTTTTTTTTTTTTTAATTTGGAAGTGTAAGAAATATTTTTCAATATGCTAAGCAGTTTACTCAAGGAAACTTGCATTCCATTAAGGAGTTGGGCTCCACCTCAAGTTGCTTACATGAAAACTTTCAGATCACTTTCTGTCCTAGGAACCAGCTTTATCAGATGGTATAGCGAGTTTTAACATAGTCAGAATGTGATTTACTGTGTTCTAAAAACCTCTGTTAGTTCAGCAAGAAAAATGTAAAGGTATATAGTAGCCTGTACCAATGTATTTGCCAAATATAACTTCATGTAAACCATCTGCCAAAACAAAATTACTGTTTAAGATGTTAAATTAATTTTAAAAAACCCCTGATAATTCTGGGAATTTAATGCTTGCAAATCTCTTCTGTTGCGACAAAAATCATATAGAAGTAGGATTCGAAGCACACCAAAGGTTACCCCATGTTTACCATTCCACAGCCAGTGACAGTCAGTAGTAGACTGAAGAGTTATTAGGAAAAGAGAAGGTTATGATAAGCTTAATTTTTCAGTTGCATGGAAACCACTTCCTGGTATAATTCTTACCAGCTGATCAGTCATATGAGTTAAAAAATGATCTTTGCTGAAACTAGAGACCTCAATCTAATCTCACGAAAGTTTGCTGCATAGACTTTATTTTCTCCTGTTCCTGGATTACAGTGGCTAGTTTATTTTGTCATGCATTCCACAATTTCCATGTGGAAAGTGCTTGCAAGGATGAGCAAATAACTGGAGAGATTAGTAGTAATGTACTGCTATTGGAATTTAGCAACCGAAATCTGTAAGAGGCTTTACAAGCAGATGGTTTACTAGATCACCAAGAGATAGTCTGTATCAATGAGTACTTTGTAACACTTTTAAATCTGAATTCTAATACAATAGGTTTTCTTTATGTAGGTGGTGTATGGAGGTCTATCGCTACATTGACATAGTCTTCTTAATTTGTAGTGGTTACAAATACAGCACGAACTAAGCTTGAGGAAACTAATAGAGGGTTCAGAGTATCAAGAGGAACTGAAGTACGACTTCAATATAAAAGGGGAACTGAGGCATTTGGATACAAATGAGTCCTTTGTTTTCAATTATTACAAGAATGCACATGAGCAGAATCATAAACGCTATCAAGTTTTGGGACATTTGATTACCCAATATGTTTATGAGCTCTTGGAAAGAGTCTGCATGCTGCAGAAAGTTTATATTCCTACTGATGCTACAGAGGTTGAACCAAGAAGCTTCTTTTTCATGAGCAAGAATGCACTAAGTTCCTCTAGCTTAATTGTCCTTCTTCAAGACCACGGAGTTTTCTGTGCTGGACAGTGGGGGCAAAGGACGATTGTCAGCGAGGGCCTGAGGCATGGAACACAAATACCATTCATCAAAATGGCTCTTCAAAGCCACAGGGGAGTGATTGTACTGAATCCCAATGACAACTTCGTTGATCTGAAGACTGAAAAGGAGAGGTTAGGCTCTTCTACTAGGGAAGAAGCACTGACTTCTACACAGTCCATCTGGTGGATCCCCAAGAGGGGCAGCAGCAGCCCCGAGGAGCATACCATGTATGTATGGGATCATTTCATTTCAAAGAGCGCAGCCAAGAATGTGGCCTTCATTGCCCATGGCTATGGTGGCTTGGCATTTGTTGATCTGCTGGTGCAGAGAAAATGGGAGGTAATGAATAAAGTATACTCTGTGGCATTCATTGACTCCATGCACAACACACAGCACCAGGCTGGAAGTGATCCACAAATACAAGAATGGATACAGAAATACTGCCGTGAATGGGTGTCAAACAGTAAGCCTCTGGATAAAGCTGTGGGTTCTCTTGTGAAAATGGATTGTCCTACTGTCTCTGCTGGAACGGAAAGGTATGGTTTAGCACCCTCCTGTTGCTTACACGCCATCTTTAAGTACCTGAAGAGCACGCTGAAAGCGAAGACGACAACATCCTTTAGGTATTCACCTGTTGCAACCAGAAGCAGCACAAGTAAGAAGAGAGACAATAAATAAAGGTATACTGATTTGTTCTTCATAGTGGTCTCTTCCTTTCATAACTGCCTCTGCACCTTTCAGTTATCTAAGGACCTTCATCTCACTGTGGAGCAACTTAGAGTTCTAAGTTTGAAGCTAGTTTGTTTTTGAGAAACACGCAAATACAAGTTAACTATTAAGAAAGAAGTGCATTGTTGAAAGCTTTAAGCCCCAATCCTTAATTTTAAGTTGCACAAAATAAAGATGTTAAGGTATATCAACTCTCATCTGTATCACTTTTTTACATAAACATTTGGCAGTGATGGCTCTACAGTCAGACTAAACTATCAGGAAAACACTCACTTAAGTGCATAGCTTTCATTAAAAGGACAAACCTGGAATACAAAAAGCACATAAAGGATCTATTTCCTCCTTACTATATACCATTTAGTGTTCAAAATCTTTCAAGAGCTGAACATCCACCTTCCTCCTTGAAATGTTTACTGTTAAGTTGAACAATACTTTGGGGAACTACATACTACTACCTTCCCTCCAGTCAGAGATGGTATGCCCCAAGCATGATAGAGTAAGCTGAAGTAAATTCCATTTTAAAGCCAATTAAGCCAGTGAGAGTACTGGGCACGAGCTGCTACAGAAACGCAATACTCTAGCAACCTGCAGTTAACAAACTGATGCAAAAGAATGATATTGCTGTTTTCTCTCAGCTGTTTAATTTTAGACAGAGGTGGGAAATAGAGACAGTTGTTAAATGTCCATACTCAAGGTTTGCGATTTATACAAGCAGAAGGTCAAATAACCTTTAAAGTGAATGTAAACAAAACCGTTATTCTGAATTTCCAGTTTAATGCTGTGGGAATTACAAGTGCTCAGTGGCTGCAAAAGAACTTCGAAGGATGACAAAGCCTTGCCCTACGCTTTCAGTTCCCATCTCAGCCAAAAAAATTGTTGAACAGTAATACTGGGTACCAGAGAAAAAGAGAGCGTCAACTTCCCTTTTGTGTTTATATCCAGCTCAGATTTCAGTCGTCTCTAATACTGTTTAAAAAAACCCTTTCGTCCTGTTATCCAATAATGGGTAAAAGTGTAAAATTCCATTGGAAAGGCACAGTCAGTTTAACGTTCTTGAGAGCAAGCATAGCTTTTTAAATAAAGATACATTTCCTGGGTTTACATCTGAATGAAAATGGTACTAAACAGACAATTAATAGACCATACGGTACCTTAGTTCACTTAAGAAAGTTGCACTGGAGATGCCATCGTTGAGGATGCATATAGCCTGCCTGTTTTGTAGGTGCTGGTCAGCATGCAACTCAAAGAATAGTCACTTGTGTGAATACTATGAGTGAACACGTAGCTTTATTTATGAGAGAAATATGAGGTGACAGAATGTCTGTCTTCAGAAGGAGACCAATATGATCCTTGAACATAAATGTTCAAACTCTCCCATGGTGTCAGAGGTGGCTAAAAACGCTTGAAGAAAAAAAGGGATCTAGAACATTGGCCATTTCCGTAATTCCTTTATCTCAGGTCAACCCACTAAATTCCTTGGTAGAGAAGGTCGTATTTAGGAATGTTATTGGGATCAATAGGACTTCTCACAATGAGTTTTCCACGCATTGCTCCACGGTAAATCACTTCAATGAGATCTATAAAGTCTTGCTTTGTTTTGAAGGTTCCTACAAATTTGGTATGATCTGGAGACCTAAATATAAGCATAAGATAAAGGTAGAATTGTAACGTTAAAGTGTTCAAAGCAAAAACACCTAAAGACAAGAAGAGGTGTATAATGACATTAGGGGTTCTGATCTGGTCATTCTGAAAGAACGAAACGCACTGGTAATGGCATAACCAAGTCAGGAATATACCGTGACCTCCAAAGTCCAAAAAGGTGCAGTGTCATGTCTAAGACTTTAACCATACTATTTCCCACAGAGTCAGGCATGTATTACAGCTGACACCTACTTATTACATGAGAGTGTTATTTCAAAATACTTCTTAATTTTACATCCTTCTGGCTTCCTACAGAGTTCCCAATGCAGATGCCAGTAACATTACCATTTTCAAACATTACCTTACCCAGACACAGTAACATCGAGAAAGACTGATAATTCTTACAGATACAATAGATAATGCCAGGTAGGATGACATACCCATAATCAACCTTCATGTGTTGTCCATTGAAGAAAAATACAGTAGATGGAATATAACTGATGTCAAAATACTGGGTGTACACTGGAACCTTGTTCACATCCACCAGGTAAATGACTGCCATTTTACTTAGGTCATGAGCTGTCTTTGCAAGCTGAAAAGAGTGAGAAAGGTGGATGACAAACAGATTGAGACACCAGAGGAAAAGGGTGGCAAGCTTTATAAAGCCCACTTCTCTTATCAGTTTAAGCAGAGCTAGAATATGACATCTTATCTACTTCAAGCACTTTGTACACTCATTACAATAACATAAACATTTGCTTAATTTTCAAACCGTTTTATGAATGTAGTATTATTTCATTTTACATTTGTCACCAAAATTTTCATGAGACACCATATTAGCCAAAAGCAACATATGACATTCTCTTGTACACAACAGGTATACTAGTAAAGTTCATTAAAAAAAAGAAAAAAGAAAAAAATTGCTCTTACAATATCATCAAGCTGCAGACAAACAGCATCGTTATCTCTTCCAAACCGGAGAACCAAAACCTTCTCGGCCACGCTTTTTATTGCCTGATCCACTTCCCTCTTACAGGTCAGTTTGGGCAGCAGAAAACTCATCCCGACAGACCACAGCTTCCACTAAAATCCCTACCTGACAGTTAGGAAAAAAACACAAAACAAAAACCTGAGTCAAAAATAAGCGAAACCTCGCCGTGCTACCAGCGAAAAGAGAGACAAACCGCCAACCACCACAGCGGGCTGACAAGCCCCTCGGGCTCCAGCGTTCGCCTCACGGCCCGGCCCCAGCCCAGCACGGCACGGCGGGCCCAGGCCGTACCCGACCCACTCCCCAGCCCGCAGGGCCTCGCCCCGCACCCGGGGCAGCGGCAGGGCCCCACCGGCAGTCCCCCTCAGGGCCCAGAGGGATCCCCGTACCCCGCAGGGCCCTGCGGCGGGGGGAGAAGAGAGGGCCGGAACCTTGGCCGTGCAGCCGCGGAACCCCGAGGACGGCCAACCGGCACGGCGCCGCGCCCGGGGAAGGAGGCGCGGAGGACCGGGCCCTGCCCCGCATGCGCAAGCCGCTCCCCGTGAGGTGAGCTCGGGATGGCGGAGGGGTCGGGGCCGCCGCGGGGCGGCCGTTAGTCGCGTCCGCCCGCCCGCCCCCTTCCCTTCCCGGGGCGGACGAGAGGGAGGCCAGGCGGGCTGGAGCGCGGCCGGAGCTCGGGCAGGTGCGGGCGCAGCCGCTGGGGAGGGAGGCAGGGAGGGAAGGGGGGGGAGGCCTCGGCCTCGGCCTCGGCCTCTCCCGCCCCGCGTACCTCGCCGCTGGGGATTAACGGCGAGAGACTCGCCCGCGGTCCCCTCCTGGGCCCGCCGGTGGCCCTCGGTGACCTCGGGAGCGGCCTTTCGCCTCCCTGCCGTGCGGCACCGTGCCGCCCAGACCGGCTCTCCTGGGCGGGCGCCGGTCGGGCGCTCCCCCGGAGGCCGCGGTGCCCCGGAGGCCGCGCTCCCCCGCCGGCCCCCGCCGCAGGAGGGGGGAGCGGGGCGGGCCGGTGCCCCCGGGAGGGCTGTGGGGCGCAGCGCGGTGCTTTGAGGCGTTACCGAGCTCGTCGGGGTTCGGTTCGGCCGTGGGCCGGTTTAGTTGTGAGGGAGCGTGTGTAGTGCCGCGCTCTGTGGAGGAGCCGCATCGCTGTGCAGGGGCCTGCGCTGGGGAAGTAAGGCGAATTACGCAGTCTCTGAAATACCGGGGAAGGGCCTTTCTGTTCCTGGGATTAGTTACAGTGAAGGCATGCTAGGACAAAAAACAAATCAGAAAAAATATTTTCAGTCTTACAAATTTAGGTTTTTGAAAGAGATTGAGAGTCATTCTTTCAGTAATCACATGGTAGTGCGCATGTTGGATGCGTTGAAAGGTAACGTGGCTTTTGTCAAAAGCTGCCGTCAGGTATTCAGACTGTGTAAATCTGCCTTTCGGCTATTAACTTAATTGGAGCTCCAGTAACTCAAGTTAACGGAGGAACTGATCCCTTCATTTCTCCAAGCTGGACAACGTACTCTTTTGATTTTTGCTTTTGCCAGTATGCTTAAATGTAAAATTATGAACACCTCTATTGTAACACTTAGGAATTTTCTCTTAACTTCACACTGTTAGGTTGGTTGGGATTTTTGTTCATTTTATCTGAAGAACAGTAGAAAAGGAAAGGTCAGTCACCAATTTGACCAATTACAGTATCGTAAAATGCATGCCAGTTCATAAGTTTCCTAATAATATGCTGCTCTTTCTGTGGCTCTCTATCTGAGCAGGTATATATATATATATTACCCCAGAATTAGATTTAACTTGTTCTTCTGTATATCAAATTGTTTTCAGGTGGTAACTTATTAGGGAGATTACGAATTCTGCTTTCAAAAGTTTCAGCTAATTTTTATGTTTCGGCCAAATCACATTTTCTCAAACATTGAAATGTCACTGATTTTACTTAAGTAAGTTTGCATAGGAGAAGGAAAATATTAAACATGCTTGGGTGGTTTTCCTTCTGCAGACCTCTTACATTTAAATACAAACATGTATGAAACTAATGGGACTGTGGGTTTCATGTCCTTAGCTTTATGTGTCAATGTCAACTTCACAGGCAATTTAGCAAAAAGAAAAAAAGACAGTCTTTTCCTATACTAGTTGTTTATTCGTCCATCTCTTCTTTCTAGGAGGTGTCTGGTGAATCAGGTGTGGTAACTCATTTGGGTAGCATGATAGCTTTTTTCCTTTCTCTACCTCATGGCTAGCTAGTTAGCTGTCCCTAATCAGGTCTTTGATTTGGCTCATAGTGTGGCCATGTGAATGCTTGCACTGCGGAGGGAGCTGGGAACAAGGGGCTTAAGAGTGCCTTCAGTGGCAGTCGTGTTAGCTTAGCAAAACTATAGTGTTGGTAGTTGCAGTAGTTCCAGTGACCTGCAATGTGGAAATGCATAGACGGGGAAAAACTTTAGTACTAAACTTTAAAAATAGAGCTTTCCCAATATATAACAGGAAAAGAAAAAATGTGATCTTCTGTGATAGAGTTGTTCCAGAAAATGTTACAAGATGAAGCATCTTGTCTATTTTGACAGTACAGGTAAATTAGGTAGGCACCTGTGAATGTTTATAAAAATATTTTCGGTCTCCCTGCAGCGTTTTGCTTACTTGGGTTGCGAAGGTTCTTATTTGTCTTATGATACAGGTAATTTAAATAGATCTCAGACAATACTTAAAGGTTGTTTGACCACATTTTGAATTGCAGTAAGTATAGCTGGTTTAAGCATCAGAGCTAACCATGTCTGTTCACAGCAGTGCCACATATGCTGTTTTTATTAGAAAACAGTGGAAAAGCAATAGTGGAAGTAGGAATTTCTGGTATTCTCTAAGAAGTAAGTTATTGTCTGTCAGTGTTACTAAGGATAAATATCTGTGTGCGTTTTCTTTATGATTTCTGACAAGTTATTTCCCCTTAATGGTGTTTTGCAGATTAAGTGTTTGAACACAATACATGTCTAAGTATGCAGTCTGCTAATATGCTTCTGAAAAAATTTGTAAGAAGTTCTGTCCTTCCATTTGCTGCACAACATGGGATGAAGAAGGATTTGTTTCCAGTCAGTAGAACTCTGAGTTTATCACTTTGCCTGAAGCAGGACAATTCATGCAGTCCTTCAGAAAAACTAGATTTAGATGCATGGAAGAAGGTAATGAAGTCTGGGTTCCAAGAAGAAGTCAGTGAGACGGTCTCTGAGCATAAGGAGCTTTCCACTTTGGCTGCTGCACGTGAGACTTTGGAGATGTGGAGACTAGCTGGCAGATCAGTTCCAGAAAATATCACTGAAGAACAGCTACAGACCTTTATGGAATGTCCTTCCAAGTCAGCCAAAAAGAAGTACTTAAGATATTTGAATCTCAAAGAACTTTACAAGAAAAACGACAGAAGAAAGATGGATGAGAAAAGGGAAAGGAGGCTGGAAACACAAGAGCAAGCTTCAAAAACTGATGAGACCAAAAGGAATTCATTCATATGTTTGTGGGCCAGCTGTATGGATAGAGCATACAGTTGGAGGGTTGCTCAGTCTATGATCTTTGGCCAACCTCTAGTATTTGACATGTCTTACGAAAAAGATATGTCCGTCCGAGAAGTCACAAATACAGTGAGACAGATAGTATTAAGTGAAAGCTGCAATCGAAGATCTGTGGATCCGTTCCACATCCACTTCTGTAACTTCAAAGATGATAGCCTCTATCATAAGGAATTTGTCAAGCATTATAGAGATGCATGGGGCAAATTGCTTATCACTGCAACAGACCAGTGCTACACAGACGTGTTTCCAAAGGATAAGCTTATCTATCTGACTGCTGACTCTCCCAAAGTAATGAAGACATTCGATCATGATAAAATCTATATTATCGGGTCAATGGTTGATAAGAGCATAAAAACAGGAGTCTCTTTAGCACGGGCAAAGCGACTGGGGCTGGAGACTGCAGCCCTTCCCTTGGAGAAGTACTTGCTTTGGAATGCTGGTGCCAAAAATCTCACATTGGATCAAATGATGCGTATTTTATTAACCTTGAAAGATACTGGAGACTGGAAGAAGGCTCTGGAATTTGTTCCGAAAAGGAAATACTGTGGCTTTGTAAGCAGGCCTCTACATGAACTGAAAAAAAGCTTAAACTTGATCAACACACTTAAACTTGGAAAGAGACAGGAAGAATTACGAAAGCAATTTGCCAAGAACTACTCTAAGAAGCTAATGCAAAAGTAGAGTGATGGGGAAGAGAATGATTTTTTTTTTATGGGCAAACTGTGCCCTTGAATACCCAGTTTCTTGGGACTTTGGGAACTGTATTCAGCTCTTTAAATATGCCTTTGTTCATTAAGTTTGAAAGGACTTGTAGTAAGGGATATATTTTTTTTAATTACCTTAGTATTCCAGCTGTTTAAATTTATTCACGTTATTGAAATTATGTAAGAGAAAAAAGAGAATCTGTTCTAAAAAATCACTCTGTACAAAGAATATCAGTCTGTTCAGTTGAACCATGCTAGGACAAGGCTGATTGTAACTGAATGCAAAGGTGATTCTTCAGAGAACACCTCAGTGCTTTGGGTTTGCAATGGGTGGAGGCCATCCACAGTCTTGTTCTGAAAGGTTAGCCAAGAGGAAATAGAAGAGGCCTTTCCCTGTGACTTCCCAAATCTTCTCTTGCTGTGTAGATGAATTGACTTTTGATGGCTGAACTAAAACCAAATGGTTAAAACCTAGCATGAGGTTGCAGAGTTGCACAGTTTGTTTCTGGGTGTTCTATCTGGCATGAATCAAGTCCCTGTTTGGAAGGAATAAACCAAATTTTTTGACCCTGCTGAAAAAATACCTCATGTACTTTTGTGTAAGACTTTTATCCCTCAGTGAATACTTACAGGAGCAGAGAGCCTTTTAATGTTGCTCAGAACTGAAGATTTATTGATTGGTCTCCCTATGAAAGCCTGTGTCCAGGCTGTAGAGCTACAATGGTCGTGTTGTTAAAAGACAGTTTTTTCTGCTGCCTGTAGTATGAGGAAGGATTTTTTTTATAGGTGCTTAAATCTTTTTGATTTAGTCTAGCTGACTACCCTCATGCCTGAAGTCAGTGATGGCAGATGGTGGGGTTTACCCTGAAAATTCAAAAACTAGGAGCGGGGAGCGTAATTTCAAAGAGTAGCCTTCAAAAGTACGTGGGGTTGGTGGTGATCCACTCCTTGTCTCGCCTTTTACTACACACTGTTGGGAAGAGGGAAGGGTTGGACACACTACCCCAGTACTGCCCTTCGCCGCCGGGGCATCTGGGCATGGAGAACCCCTGGCTCGGAGGAAGACCTGCCTCCTTTCGGCCGCACGTGGTTGGGAAGTACGCCAAGCTTCGCCCTGGGGTAGCGCTCCAGGCGCGGCTGAGGGCGGCCTCCCAAACTTCCCTGCTGTCGAGCCCTGGGGCGCCGGGAGCGTCTGCTGGAGCGCGCGGCCGCCTCGCTCGGACAGCCCCTCTCCTTCCTCGCGCGAGGAAAGGACGACACGGAGCCGCGCGCTGCTGGAGCGTGCCTCCTGTTGTTTGCTGTTTCTCCCTAAAAACGGCCTCTTCTGATCTGTGAACGGGTTTGCGCTGTGGGGAGGGGGGAAATGGCGTCATCGCTTACTTGGGGTCGCGCTGGTGAAACGTGGAAGATAATTTTTAAACGGCGAGCGGTGGGGAGGGCATGGCAGTGAGCGTGGCAGCCACCAGCCCTGGGCATGGACGCGGTTCTTCTGGATGCCAGTGACGTGGGGGTTCTGCGTGTGACGTCAGGGGGCAGGGGGGGTGACGTTGAGCGTCCGGCCTCCCGCCCCGCGGGCGGGAAGCGGTATCCACGTGCGCACCGCCGCGTCGCCCGGGCCGAGCCGTCGGACGTGCGTCAGAGCGGCGTCACTGCAAGCTTTCCCGCCTTCCCTGGCGGCTCGGAGAGCAACGCTTCCGCTGGCGTCATTGCCGCTGCGCCGTAGAAGGCGGTGCCGGCGTGGCCGCTCTGGCCTCCGCCCGCGCGTTCTCTATGGTCGGGGGAGGGCCGAGGGCTGGAAGAGCCGCGGCGGGGCGGCGCGCGTGCGCGGCACGGGAGGCGGAGGCGGGGGAAAATGGCGGACGGCAGAGCTGAGGGGGAGAAGGCGAAGCGGCCGCAGCCCGGAGGAGGTGAACATGTAGCGCCTCTCGCCGCGTAGCTGCGGGGTGGGCAGGGGGTCCGGGCCGGTCCTCCAGGGGTGGGAGGGGTCCAGGGGTGCCGCCCCCGCCCGGGCAGGCCTGGGCCGGGCCGGGCCGGGCCGTGCGGTGCCCGGCCCTGCGGGGAGAGGGGGCGGCCCGGGCCTGAGGAGGCTGCGCTGGAGGAGCGGCCGAGGTCTGGGCCGCTGTCCTCACGCCCGAGGATTAGCCTCAGCCTTACAGGAGGTTTTTAAAAAAAATCTAACGGCTTTCCCTTGTCCACGTAAATGCGTTGTTTCTCTCTCCGTAAAAAATATACGGAATACTTCTGCCGTGTATTGAGAGAAATTTGACTGTTGCTGCTGGCAAGGATGAAGACAGCGTCTTAAAGATTAGCTTTTAACAGCTGGGGTACCTTTTAAAAATAGGCGCAGTGAATATTCCTTATCTGCTGCTTTAAGCATCCTGGTTTTTTTGCTTGGCAGCAATCTGCAAGTGTTCTGTTTGCTTTTCTATTCTTTATATTATGACTGGATATTCCTGTCATCTTCTGTACTGCTTATATCAGTTCTCCTAAAATTTTTGATCATGTTTCTTTCCTTCTTTTTTCCCCTGACTTAAAACTTAGAAGATGGCATCTTTGGAAAGATAAAGCTTCCCTTTCCTGTTTTGGGGGTTTAAGTGTATCTGTAGGCACAGGACATTTGTCTGATCTGTTGAAAGATTAAATCAGGCTTGTAAACCCATTAGGATAGCCTCAACAGTGTATGTTATTTGTGATAACCACTAAAATGTGAACGTTAATACCTGATTTTAGGTAGTTCCTTGACTCTTGGTTCTCTGTTGTTTGGTTGGTTTGGTTTTTGGGGTGGTTGGTTTTTGGTGGGTTTTTTCTTGGTTGGTTGGGTTTGGGTTTTTTGTGTTAGTAATGCAGTAACTGGACAGCAACAGTATGTCAGTTATCGATACCATCTTGTGTACTGTTTGGTTTGCTGAAATGTGTTCTTAATGAGTTATGGTACATTGGCCCTAAGGAAAGATAGTTACTCCCTGATGATTTTTGGAAGCAATTTAGAGTCTTTAGCTTTTGCCAAGATCAGTGGGGTTTACCTTAAAGTTAAATTAGTTGTGACTGGTTTGTTCCCGCCACCACCAATGGTCACACTCCCAGGGGCAAGAGATCCTGAAATGCTGTGCAACTAGCACTGTCACTCTTGTCACTTAAACCACCTATATAGTGGAAGTTGATACTCATGAGAAAAACTCATCTGTGAAGTGGGACAGCTTTTTGTTACTGTGATCTGTGAAAAGAGTGCTGGTCAGACTAGTTTTTGAAATAGTACTGGTGGTTTCCATAGGTGAAGTATGACCTCCTTGACACCTCTAGAAAATATATATGCATTGGCATGGGAGAGACCTGTTTAATGGATAATATACTTGTGCGTTTCCGTCTCCTGCAGAAATAGAACAGCACAATGACTCCCTCCCCACCTACCCCAATTGTCCTATGCCCATTCTAGGTCCTTCAGCAAGTAAGAGTATTTCTTTTAGCAGTCTACAGTTCATCCTAAGTGGAGCCTAGTAGGAGTAACATTCAGAATGTAGTGGTGATAGGAACTAATTTTGAGAGAGAAGCTGTTTAATATTTTGGTGAGAAAACAGATGTGGGTAGATTGTGTTAGGCTTCATCTTGTGCTTAGCAATATTCTAGAATTTGCAGTCAAAGAAGCAAGCTGTAGTGTAATTAGCTTCAAGCTAGCATTATCTTAGGAACCTGGACTGGTCCAGTGTGCCCTGAGATCTGGGCTGCTGTGGATTTTGTATCTTAAGAAGACTTTTAGGCCCACGGTTCCAACAGTTAAGGCAAATGAATCTTCTACCTACCCTTGAATCACCTTACAGTCTCTAGTGTACTAAGACTGGGCTTGTAATTGAATATTCAGTTTAATGTGATTTCGTGGACAAGCTGTAAAGAGCTTCTCATAGCCTTGCAGACTGCTGTTTGGGAAACTGTGCCAAGACAGCAACCAGTACCCAAGGTCACTTGTGTAAATTTTGCTTGTTTCTCTTCCCTCCTTTGTTTGTTCACTTTCATAGCTATATTTTCTGTGTCAGATTTCTAGTGGTGCAGATTAGTACCATTTTTTAATACAGTGAAATTGATTAAAGTTCTTAGGGGTTTTTTTGTGTGATTTGCCATGTTTCCAAAGGTGAATAATAAATCAGTTTTTGTTCCAATCACTTATTATCTTGATAGCTAGAAGAGTGGGGTAGAAAGGGTATATTTTGCTGCTTATGATTTGGGAAATAGCAGAAAAATATATATAGATGGTATCCCTAATTTTTCTTTCTCCTGATGTTGTTTGCTACCTTTTTTTCCTTAGAGCTACAATCTTGTTGATCCCTGGTTCAGACTAGCTTCTCGCCCATTGCTTTGTCTTACTTAATGGCTTTCTGCTGTTAGAGAGCAGTGCAAAGAGCTTTCTTCCCTGATGGTCTGAATTTGCTGTGTGTGGAGAGTCCTGTTCTCCACTTGATATAACGAGGAACTGGTGCTAACTCCAGTTTTTCTTAGACTGATAGTATGAGCACTGCCCTGTCCATTCCCCAATGCGTGGGTTGTTTTTTTTTTTCCTTCTGCTACTGCAGTGATTTGCTTATTGCAGCAGCAGAGAAATGTATTTTTGCTGAAGCATTTACTATGTTCAGTATGAGTTTTCCAAGGACACCTTTGTCTCTTGGTGTAGCTGAAGAAGCCAAGTGTATAGGAATGAAAATGTGATTTGAGTGTTTTTTCTCTGTGGATCATTGTTCAGCTGATATGTTTTCCATGACTTTATACAAAACCAGAAAAGGTGAAATATATATATATGTTTTTCTAGTGCTGATTCCTTCCTCAAGCAGAGCTTGGCAGATTTATTACAGATGAGATGCGGACAAGCAGTGACTTGAAACATGATTGAGACAGCCGGCCTCACTGTAGTCACTTCCATGATTTTAGAGTTGTGCCAGACAAGCCTAGAGACTGGCATGGACATGTTTTTGTAGAAATTTAGTAGAATTAATTTTAACTTAGATTATCTACTCTAGATTTGGAATTGAGATTCCAGTTATGAAAGTTTATCTATGGCAACTTAAACCCTAAAAAGGTTTAGTCATCTACATTTAATTTACTACATGAACTTTGACTTCCATACTAAATAAAGAGATGGTGCTTCAAGATTGTTTTCCTGGCTCATACACAAGAAGTTCTTTACAAGTAGTGGAGTGCTTGCAGTTTCTTCTCCTCTTTGTGTTTTGCTGTCCACTAAATGTACATTGGTGGAAACTGCTGTCACTAAAACCACCTTACCTATTGCACCCAAAGTATAATGCTTTTTGAGGTTGCTGCTCCCATCAATCTGCTCAGTAAAAATAGCTCATCTTGGTAAGTTGTTTCGACTTCACCAGGACCTGAAGAAGAGGCAGAAAAACCTGTGAAAACTAAGACTGTTTCTTCCAGTAATGGAGGAGAAAGTTCGAGTCGCAGCGCAGAGAAACGGGCAGCTAATGAAGAAGCTGAAGACTTCACCACAAAGCCTGCTCCTGCCAAAATGTCCAAGTTTGGATTTTCCATAGGCAGTCAGACAGCAAAGAAGGCATCTGCAATATCCATCAAACTAGGAGCAAATGTAAGTTGTCTAAGGGCTTTTAATTTTAGGGAAAGTGAGGCAAAGGGGGAAGTACTTTGGGGAGGCTTCCTTGCAGAAGGAAAGCCTTGAATTACGTGAGGGTACCTTGGAAAAGATTAAGAAAGCATTGCAGGGCCAGCTAATTGTGCATGTGTAAGTACTTCAAGGTGATTAATACCAGGTCAGTTGTCTCAGGAAGCATAAGACTTGATTGAAATGAGCTGTAGATCTTTGAACATACAAAATAATTTTGTAATGAGATTTGATAAGTCTGGAATAATTTCCTGAGGGAAATGAGCAGACTTGTTAAACTGTTCAGGCTGCTTTGAAATGAGTGCTGTTGAGCTTCATTGCATAGGATGCTTAAAGCTACAAGAAAGCAAATACTTCTCCTAGATGGCTTAATAGGTTGTCTTTCACTCCAAAGACCTTATTTTAGCATGGTGAAGTATAGTTTATTTTTCATGACTTTGCTTGTTCTTTGCAAGGTCAGCATGATTCATTTATACTTTATGCAAGAGTTGAGGCTTCATTACTTGGTTTCTAAGAATTCTGAGCCCCTTTATTGTCCAGTACAAGGTATCCTTGTGCTTGTTCCGATGTGAGTCTGATGCTTCTCTTTACTACCAAAGTAGTCTTCTACTAGCTTGTGCAAGGACAAGCCAGATGCTGTCTCTCTATTTAATACTGTTCATTTACACTTCCCACGTACCACTGTGGTGGATACATTATAAATCCTTGTCTGGATTATATTCAAACTGTAATCATGAAAGCCTTGCACCTGCAATGCCAGCATTTTACAGATCTGCAAAAGATGAAAAGAGTGCTCTGTTATTTTGAGATGGGAGGGAGATGCGAGCTGGCAGCATTCTAGGGTATAAATGCAATCAGGTCAGCTCAGACTTTGGAAAAATTGACAAAGCTGCCTTCTCTGAGCCACTAGCAAGCTCCGATTTATCATGTAGAAGGACACTCCCAGTGGCAATAAATTTGGCTTAGGATTTCTGGCTGACTGAAGTTGGTGGATGACTGACAGTGCACCAGATTGGACAGTGCTGAAACTTACCCTGTTTCTTCTTAGTCATTTTTACTCCCTTAGTATGTTACCTGTTCCTGTGGAGCTGGTGCTTTAAAAAATGGCACAGTATTTATACGTTATACACGATCGGTAAGGAATAGCTATAGACAGTCACATAAGGACTCTGCTGCAGTATCAGCTTCAAAACTATGAGTGTATATGAAATAATCACCAATAAAGTCAAAATGGAGGAAGCACTGTATATGATTGATTTAGATAATTGGTAGTACTGTAGAAGCAAACTGTTACTGATGACTCAATGCTTTCTTAGGGGTCTTAAAGTTACTTTCGATATCTTTGCTGTATTACATGTAACAGTTGTGAGTTTGAGAGCTTCTTACACTTTAAATAGGTATTTACTGGAAATCAAAATAATACTTTTTAAAGGAGCTTTATATTAATTGGACTGTGTGATGCACACTGATGCTAGTTTTAAAGTATTAAATTGTGTTAAGCCAGAAACTGTCACATTGTTAAAACACAAGAAAATAAACATCCTCATCTTCCTGGCATTGATGGATCAGAATACTCCAAAAGAATAATGGAAACAGTGACATAGTAAATTTTGAATACCACAACTTAATCAGGTTCTGATTTAATTGTTCATGTCATGCACCAGTGGCTGCATACCCCTGCAGTGTGCTAGAAAGTTAAGGCTTGCTTGTGGGGAATTGTAATATGAGAGGGCTCAGCTTGCTTTTCAGAGTGTATCTTGCACAAATGAGCAGCCATTTTCCTTTTTCATTAGAGAGAAACCTTTATCTGCTTGATTCAAACAAAAACACCTTTCCCCCTCATTGCCCATTTCAGTTAAGATGTTTGACTTCAGTTTACCAAAATATTTAAAATACCAAGGGTAGCTTTTTTTGAGTTAATAGACTTACTTGTGCATTTGGTCTTTTTCAGAAGCCTAAAGAGCCTGTTCCAACCCTTGCTCCAAAAACCCTTTCCGTAGCAGCAGCTTTCAATGAAGATGAAGATGTGAGTAATAAGTCAGTGATCAACACAACTTAAAGTACCATTGGTGTGGGTTAGAGTTAGGCATATCTCTTGTGTTTCTGTTTAAGAATGTACAGCTCTGTAGCTCTGTGTTGGTTCAAGAAATCATTAAAGCGCTGATAACTTTTCCCTGAAAATGAGATGCACAATATAATTTGAATTAGTGGTTGTTTTCTCTGGGCTTGGTAAAGGGGAGGCGAAGAAAAGTTGTGCTTCTTCTGGCTTGCTAAATATTTCATTGTTGTGCTACTGCTCCTTCTTACCCAGAGGTGAACAAAGGAATTTGTATTTCTTTCTATAACCTTGTAGAACCTCTATTTTGTCTTAAGTCACTTTGCTTTCCTGTAGGGCTGTAGTCTATACTTTTTCTTGTCAGGCATTTGAAATGTTCCGATGATAGCACCCAGCCACACTCTAACCTCCTTTCTCTCTGTAGAGTGAACCAGAAGAAATGCCTCCAGAAGCCAAGATGCGTATGAAGAACATCGGAAGGTAGGTCAGCTTTTAACTACGGTCTGGAGAAGGGTGAGTGCGTGAGAATACCTCCTCCAGCACAGGTCAGATCTTGCGGATGATTTAGAAATACAGGAAGGTAGAATAGGTTCAAAAAGTTTTTCTCCAGAAACAAGAAAATTTTAATACAGATATTTTCAAATGTTTCAGCTGTAGGTTGAAAGTAGTACAGTTACATTATTGTGTTACAGTATAGGCCCAATCCTAAAGTAAATAGGGACATTTTCAGAGGAGGCTTCACTTAAATTAGGGATTAATTTTGAGCATCTATATTTTAAAGATGTTTATCATGATAGACTGCTTTTAAAGTCAGTCCTCTGGAGGCTCACTACTGTTTAGTGGGTTTTTTTCACCAGTAGCAAATTTGGATCCTCAATTTTGTAGCCCTTGCAACAAATTCTTCACAGCTGGCAGCAGCTGCCATTCTCACCTCCTCTGCTGCCCCATCTCATTGCTCTGTCTTGATGTGCTACAGAGAGATCAGTTCTGTGGCCACATTACAGTTGCTAATAGTGAGGACTCCTGATGTAACGGAAAGAAATGTGTGGTAGTTTCTGGCACAGGTTGGACTTGAAACTGATGTTTTCAGTGTCATGTTGCACAAACTACTATAGTTGTACTGACTTTCTCAACTGATCTTGTTTTACTTTTCACAGGGATACACCAACCTCAGCAGGACCAAATTCCTTCAATAAAGGAAAGCATGGTTTTTCTGACAACCAGAAGCTATGGGAACGAAATATAAAATCTCATCTTGGAAATGTCCATGACCAAGAAAATAACTAAATGATGTGGATTGAGAGTCGGGTGTTTGGGGGGAGGGGAGGGTGTAATGTTAAAGGAACAGTTTCCTTTTTTAAGAATGGTATAAGACTATCTTTGGAGCCACTTTTTTAAGATTGAGTGGTACACTAATAACTGAGTTTGAAATTAGAGGTAATTTATGTTTTGTATACAGATTTCAAGGCATTTGCTAATTTTGTAGTTCCATGTGATTAGTTTCAAAAGGTTACAGATAATAAAGAAATTGGAGTGGTACCTTTTTAAGATTTTTTTTTTTTTTTTTTTTTGGTCAGTGATTAATTAAGGTGGATGAAAAAGGTTACTGTCTCTTTAATCAGGTTAACATGGAATGCTCTTGCATTCTCACTTCTGGCTCCCTCTTCGTAACAGGAGAAACAGTTGACTCCTAGGAATACTGCTAAAGAGAGTGAGCATTGTCTTGTGCTAGAAGTGTTACTGGACTATTCATTTGAATATAAACTTATGCAGGAAATTATAAGAACCTGGATTTTTTTTTCCTCCCTGCAGTCACCTTTTGTTAAGTCTCTGCAAACTAGGAATTATGTTTCTCTGAGTGGCTCTGGTAACTTAGTTCTAATTTTGTTTAAAACTTCATGTAGAATGTGTAACCTTCTGTGGCCTGTTTCACCCTAAGGGAATGGGCCTTGTTTGTATATTAGATACAGTCTGTAAAAAATATTCACTACAAAGGTAAATCAGTATTTTCAGTGTGCTCCTCTTAAATCATTAGCCTTGAGTAGTGCTTGTTAGCATTTCCTTGTGGCACACAAAAGCCACCACCAAAAAGACAAGCTAATGTACATTAAGCTTCACATTTGGTTGAAATATTTTTCTTTACTATGCCTAGAAGGAATAAAAGCCACACCAAAAATCAGTAACTCACTGCTTAAGTATGAAAAATCTGAGATGCACTTTCCCTGTCTTGCCATTTAAAACAAAATGCCTTGATGCCTGTGACCTCAGTGGACACTATCAGGTTAAAGAAGGATAATGTATTTGCAGTCTTCATGCTTCTAACAAGTGTCAACTTCAGGAATAAAACTCAACCTTTTCCTACCTGTCTGCCTTTTGCAGTAATTTTCAACAATGACATTAGTCTGGTCGGTTTAATTTCCTAGCTTTTGTACTGGAGAACATACTGCTGTAGGATTTCAAACCTAGTAATGACTGTCTAAATTTCAGTCTAATTTAGATTACATATTTTTAAAACATTTTACTAGCAGAACTGGTTTAACAGAAAGTTATCAACAGCAACACCACCACCTTCACACCCCACACCCCCCCCCCCCAACCAAACATAAGGTTCTTTTTGAACTCAAAATACCTGATAGTGTCGACCACTAAATTGATTTCAGCCTGGAACTGGTCATAGAATTCAATATGTTAATTGCTTTCATCCTGCCTCTAAAACCTTTCTTAATGCTAAAGTTGAACCTGTGAGTGCAGAAAGGAAAGTGCATCTTGAAATTTTTTTTATTATTATTTTAGGAAAGCTCTGACCACTTAGACTTTTGAGTTTGTAAGTTCTAAAAAATATTTTTTTGTATTTTTGTATTGTATGTGTAATCTTTCTTCTTTTGAAGTCTGATGCAGTTGAATACCTGTAACTATTTTCTTTAAAAGCCTTGTTATAAACGTAACATAAAAACGTATACATTATTTTTTTCCATAGCAGAAATCTTTGGTTTATTTAAAACAAAACAAAACACTCTTTCAAAACTGACTTTCAGGACTTCCAAAACTGATTTGGGCATTACTGGAACCAGGCAAGGCAAAATGAAGCATTTGCTTTTCACTTACTTTTATCACATGTGGTTATGTTTGTTGAAATAAATCCCTTTAAGATAGTGGTAATTCACAGTGAATAACTCTTATCTTGCTCCTTAGTTCCTGGATACTGTCTCGGTCACTCGTATTAGGAAGAAGCAAAAGGGAACTTTGAATAAGAGGATGACTTTGAGACCTATTCTTCTTTAGTTAACCTGCCACCAGCAATGCCTTCCACGTCTTTGACTGAAGTAGACATTAATTTCAACAGAATTTCCTGGTACTTCAGAATCCTTTAGGAAATTGCTAAGCAGAACAGCAGACATGCTAGGAAATGCCTTCCATGCAAGTGAGAGAGCAAAAGTTATATTTATCTTTCTTACTCTCATGCTCAGTAAATGTAATCCTAGACCTTGTGAGAGACTGCAGCAGCTTCTAGATCTCAGCTGAAGGTGAGCAGAGATCCTGCCTTACTCAGTGTATGAGTTCTGTTCCTTCTTATGCTTCACGAAGACAATCAATCAGGATGGCCTAAATCCACTCAGGTCTGAGTCCCTAACAAGCTTGATGTTGTAGCTACAAGGGTGTCTGCTGGTGTTGAATGTCTGATGCTTGCAAGAAAGAACTAATCTGAAAAGTATCATCAAGGCAAATGTTAGCTAGAACTTCACTTGAAGTTCTAGGCTTTTGTTACAGTAGTCACGATCTTTGTATGAAGATAGTCTTGGGGGGGATGTGTGTGTAATTTTTTTTGTTCTTTTTCTCAGAATATTTAGGAATCATAAAACTCATGGTAAACTACCTGATTTAGCTATCTTAGGTGCTTCCAGGAGATATGCTGAGACCTTTAGCTGCTTAGTATAGCAAGGTATGTATACCTATCAGTGGTTGAAATGTCTGTCTGTGTAACTTGTGAAGTTTTATCTCGGGAGGCTTATGCTTGCTTAGCAGTAAATCTTTACTTAGCACCTGAGCAGCTTGCAAAACATTCAAGACATAAGGTGAAGATTTAAGTAGTTACACAGTAACCTTCCTTCTCTGTGCTACCCTGCAGCTAGATGTTTTTGAGCCTGCTGGGTTGTGAATGGATCCATACTAATCTAATGCTAACTATATTAAAATAATAATAATTAAAAAAAGGGCTGTAGCCCCTTACACACCTGATTTCATTCCTTTAAAAGCATAGGGGGTGTGCTGTCCAGATTCTCAGAATCTCGATTTTATCAGCAGAAAGAGGTACCCAACCAGCTTGTCTGTAAGGTGACTGATGGATGCTATTTTAATTTCATGGGCTTACTCCCATGTCATAGATGACCTAGTTACAGTATTCAGCCAACTTTGATGAAACCAACTATCGTGTCCTAACATGACCACCATGGCAGCAGCCACAGCTGCCTTCAGGCCCATCGTGCTCGATCTCTGCATTTGCCAGATTTGTAGAGCACCTCCTTGTCAGAACCCACACGACTGTACTGAGTTCTGTGTGCTGGGGGTGGCTTTACCAAAGCTTTCATTGTCAGGAGGCTTGGAGGAGAAGTCAGCTTTTCAGAAAATGGTGTCTTCTGCTTCCTGAAGAGGCAAACTGAAGCTTTAAACTATTGGAAATCACTGGTGTAACTATAACTCTTTCTAGGCTGCTGTAAGATAAGAAGATAAATCTGGAGAAGCAACAGAATTTCAAGGCTTTTTATCTGTGTAGTTAGTAGCCTTAAAAGGTCTTCTGCAAAAAGAGGTTGAGTTTTTTTAATTCATTATAAAATTATTAATTGAGGAATGGTTAGTAGTTTTGCCCTTAAGCTACAGAAGGGAAGGTTACATTCTAAAATCACCGTAATTTGTTTACTTCCTCTGCCAAGAGGCGCTAGAGCACCATAGAAATTGGACAATTAACAATTTGCTTTTTTACTTTATCCTATTAACACCTTCCTTATTTCTTCTATTAACAGAGGGATCTCCTACTGTTCTCTAATTTTGATATATCGGCATCTTAAAAACTACATAGTGCTTGTTTAAGAGAGCTGCTCATGTTGTTGAATAATGCGGAGCCACTGCCTCAGGGTAGATGCATAGTTACCCATAGAATTAAAAGCATGAAATGTGAACTGTTACACTTGAACTCTGTATATAGCATGTTAAATTTCTGTTCGTGAACTTCCATTTAAAAGTCTGGAGCGGTGGGGGTCCAAGCAAGATTTAGTTACCAAAGCAAACCTTAAAACTCTACAGTGTGCATTTTTTGCAGTATAGATATGCTTATGTGCCAGCTACCCTTTAGGCTAGGTAGAGTAGGTAAGAGTGGCAGTGACTGTCACAGCTAGAAATTAGGGTATGTACTCTTTGATTCAGTGGCATATAGTGAGGTCTTAACCTTTGCTAATCTTGCAACCTAGTTCTTAAATTTGGTTCTTGGATTTCCTGATGAGATGGAGGCACAAATAAGGTGTTTGTGGTTCTGTAGCAAGAGCTCCACTGAAACTTGACGTCATGAGCCTATGTTTACATTTTCCTTGCAGTGCAGATTTATTAATCTGGGGTAATGCAAGTCATAATAAAAACATAATTATGTCTCCTTTTCTCCCCTGGTTTCCCATAATTTGTAAACATAGTAGTTGCACATAAAAAGTTGGCTGATGCTTAGTAGCTTATTATAAAACCATAATTTTGGCTTTGCTTTTGTGAAATAAGTGTAACTGTGGTAGCCTTTCATATTCATATGTGCACCAACTTCCACACTGTAGAATTGCAGGCACTGAATAGAGCAGCATAGGATAAAGAGTAATTGTGAAACTAGCATGTCTCTTAGGCCGTGCTTTGTTCTTGTTACTCAGATGCTTGTTTAACACGGTCCTGTTCATGTGTAAAATCTAAAGCCCTGACAAGAAGAGCTTGGGCTACTACACATCTAAAAGCACAGAATAAGTTAATACTGATGTTACCATCTCTAAGGCAGGGCACTTTACCTCAGACAAGAAATACTGCCCTCAGGACAAAACTTTTCAGAGAGGTGCAAGACAAACCGTTAACTTTCTGAAAAGTCCCTTCAAAGTCAGGCTAGACATAAGCATGTTCCCCAACAGCCCTGCACTTGAGGGTGGCCACAACATGCCCTGGTGCCTCTCGGCTTCAGTAGCTGGAACTCTTCTGCATGCGAACAGGTCTCAGTAACGAACTGCTTGAGAGGTGCTAGGTTCCCACTGTGCGGTCAGCAGCTGTGAGACTGGCTCCTGTATGTTATCATATTAATACAGTTCCAATGCTGTAGAAATTCATGGCTCTTCCTTTAATAGCCAGGAATGACACGGTTCTAGCTCCAGTGGAAACAAAGGGGGGAAAAGTTATCCACACAGCACGTTGCTGTTTTTCATCTATAGCTGCATCCCTGTGGAACAGGAGTAGTTCAGTGTAGGCTACATTACTCCTTCAGTGCTCAGCCTTTTGAAACCCATTTTTATTTAATTATATACTTCCCACTTAGCTTGGTTACCTGTATGGACTCACAGAAGAGTTAATAGGCTAAAAAGCTCCTAGCATTTCCCCTAGGAATCAGGATGAACCACAAAAGGTAACTGGCCTTTCTGCGACATTGATGTTGCCTTAACATTGTTGCTCTAACAACAAATGGAAAAGTACAGGATGCCCTTCGTTCCCAAAGCAGGAGGCAGCTGTACAGCTCATCCTTCAGCCAGGAGAGTGACGCTGGAGGACAACCCCTGCTCAAATATTTGTCCCAGAGCAGCGGCCAAGACAGAAGTGCTGTATGGTGCTTGCTTCAGGGTGGCAGTGTTGTACAGAAATCCAAGTCAAGAGAAATTGCACCTGAAACAAACTAAAATGGTTACAGCTGGGTATCAGGGTGGCTGAGTGGATGCCTCCTCCACCAAGAGGTCTTGCAGCCAAAGTGAGTTCAGTATAAATACACACTGTGTTTTGTTAGCTTTGTCCTCTTGTATTGCCATATTCTGACACAATTTAGGAGGGCAGTGGGTTTCCTTTCCTCATACAAGTTAATTTTTTGAGCCTTAAGCAAAAATTAAAAACCATTCACATCAGACATCTTATCTATCTATGGAAGGTGAAATACTGAGGGGGGATAAATAATTCTGCAACACTTTTTTACCCCAATAAAAGAAAAGTTGCTTGAAAGAATAATTCATGGCAAAGCTCAGTTTATTTAATGACAGAAATAATCATAACTTTATACATCTAACACTAAATAAAAACAGCAGAATGTACAAATCAAATTCATTATGTACAAGAAGTTACTAGGAATACTTTATAAACGGACACTTCTCATTAACTTTATTTTTAAAAAAATCAAATTAAATTAGTATCAACTGCATAGTTGCAGTCTGACTTCAAACAGATTGCAGAAGGGTAGTGAACATCTTAAATTAAGAGCTGAAGCCTAAAGAAAAACATAAGGCAACTTCACACATACGGGAACAGCAAAGCTAAGAGTGACACTCCCTACTTACCTCATGCCGTTC